GCGAGAGAGAGAGAGAGAGAGGGAGGGAGGGAGGGAGGGAGGGAGGGAGGGAGAGAGAGAGAGAGAGAGAGAGAGAGAGTGTGTGTGTGTGTGTGTGTGTGTGTGCAATGCCAACAAAAAGAACTAGTGGTACAAATTATTGTAAGGAGGAAGACGAGAGGATGCGGGAAAAGAGAAAAAGCAAAGGGAAGATAACATACTTTTGGTTCTCCTAACTGGTGCGCTAATCACCATTACATAGTGCACCTTTGTCGTGATAAATCGTCCCTCGAATGTAACCGAATGACCGATACAGCTACTCAAATTCTTTGATGAGTAAGCTTGTCGAGGTTATATGGAGGCAAATCTTTCCTTTTAGTTCTCAAATCCCATTTACTCTCCAATCAAGGCTTCGAGAAAGAAAGAAAAGTTGTAGTTAAGAGGGTATACCCCTAAAAGAGCAAGATTAAGAATTCCTTAACAAAGACCATTTTTATTGGTTATGTTGACTCACAAGGAACATTTCTTAAGCAAAAAAGTTGTATTAATAACTGTGGCCACATATATTACAATTACTACAATTTCAACTCTCTTGATATGATTTGCTACACACATGATGTTCCCATGATGCAAATCCCATAATTCATCTTCATCAAAGTGATAATCTTGATGGAATGAATGGGACGATTGGCTTTCCGATAGGGGATATCGCTGTTGCGGACCCTGTTCACCATGGGTAGAGGCCAGAACCCCATCTAACAAGGCGGAGAATGCTTTGATCATCTTGCAAGTGTAAGTATCCCGGCGAACGAAACCATTGAAGAATAAGAGGTTAGTGTTGGTGGTCCATATGGATCACCACCGCTTGGAGAGGACCTGGTCTTGACAATGCCTTTGATGTGCAAGAAGGAGAAGATGTGGCGGATTAGAGTGTCTGGTAAGGCACCAATGAAATCGTATGGGTTCTCGCTTCATTTCAAGGAGACGAAGAAGGAGAAGGTTGGCTTCACTTTGCACGATTGGTTCTTGCTAGAGAATTTGCCTTGGAGCATGCCGGGGGTACACCGCTAACGTGAAGTAACCACCTTATAACATTACCCACATGACACACACTACTTGTTTGATTTTTGAAACTCTCGTTTCTTCATTTGGCCATCTTCTCCCTTTGGTATGACTGATGCATAGGATACATTGTCCTATCTCAGACATTGGACAGCGGATATCTTAAAGTGGCAATACCTTAAGGTAGGTTGGAGCAATTTCTTGAAAACTACGTGATCAGTTGTGCAGTGTTTACCAAACTTGTACAGAAAAGGTACAACACTACTGTGGCCATAATCAAACATCCGAAAGTTTAGGAGCAAACTTCAACCCAAATATTGCTGACTTTGGTGCAATTATAGGTAGATTTGAATCTAGTTCTCCATTATTAGAGACAACACAATGATCACAACGATATCTCTGTAGCCACTGCATTTAATCAATGCTGTAGCTGTCCCAGGCAAGATGGTTCGATGAACATTCATCTCCTTTTTTGATGCCTGATTCATTATCTTCTTTGCTTTGCTATCTCATCTAATGTCAAAGCCCTATGCATTATAATAAAACCCTAGCTTAAAGACAGAACGAGACATGGAAGCCATCTTAACAGGATTAGGATTTGACAGCACTAGATATTCCACCTTTGACCTATGTTAACGTAATAAAGGACAAGATATTAGACATGTTCGAATCTTAAATTAGATCTCACATTTGACAATCAAAATCGATGGCTGCATCTTTGAAAATCAAGCCTCGTTGTTGGACCACGCCCATATCATGACATCTTTCAAACAGTAAAAAAAAATTCCAACAGCTAATAAACCGCGTGCTCTTGAGGCACACTCATTAAGACAACCACGCAATGCCATGTAATTAAAAATTTTATCGAATAGTAAGAGATTCCCTGTCCTATCACCAAAAACTTTACCTAATTATTCGAGATTAATATGCATGAAAACACGTGTAATATTCGGGCTGATTATAAAACGATGCTGTTCTTGGAAATAGTACATCAAAAGCATAGAGAGTTAGGCTTAATAAATTATTAAAAATTGCATGTAGTTTTCTTCTATTAGTTTATTATGTTACCCTTTATTATCGAGTATACATTTTTTAAGTGTCCAAAGTCTAATTATATAATTATATGGTATATGTATGTATGTATGTATATTAATACGGGTCAAACTTTCAATAATGTTTTTTCAGTCTATAAAACCGCCATAACCACCCACAAGATCAAAAAGTCAAAACCCAACAAAGCAAAACAAAGCAAAACAAATCAGACAGAGCCCATGCAACGTGACAGTTGGCAACGCTAGATTGGCCAACAATGAATCCTCAACCCCTTCAGAAGGTCAAACGGTCAAAACAAGACTGCACTTGTTTATTCCTCACCTCCACCTTTAAAAACAAGACCACACACTCTCACTAATAGCTCATCAACTTCCCATACTCTCAATCCCATCTGAACTCAGTAACGCACTCGCGAAGAACACAGGAGAGAGAACCGAGGGCATGGCAGGTTCGAGAAGGTCGACGATCATCGGTGTTGGTGGTGGCAATATAGCGAGAAGCATCATGAGCCGGCCGTTCCCAAGGAGGGGCCGGGTGAAGGCGGCTATAGTGGCAGGGCTCGCACGCCGGTTGGCCTCCGTGTTCACTGTCCACGTTCGATGCGCCTGTGCTCATTTTTCACAGTAGCAATTGCATTGGGAAGATAAATGCCATCTTCTAATGATGATTCTGATTGAGGCCATGTTCTTTGAGTGGACACAAGAAGATGGTGGGGGCAAATGAACTGGGTTCATCACTTGGGAAGATCCCATTTTTCTGTAGAGAGAGAGAGAGAGAGAGAGAGAGAGAGAGAGAGAGTTGTTCTTGAGGGTTGGGACTCCAAATGGTGTGTTCCTCTGTAACCATACAGCGAACTGTTGTTCTCTTTAATTTTCCCAAAATGACAAACTTTTTTATTTCTTGGAGTTTCAGTGCTATGAAGAGGTCACAATCTAATGTTTCTCATATGTATAAACAAGAAATGAAAAGGAACTTGATGCATTCTTTCTCTCTCTACTTTTCTGGGGAGAGAAATTTCTCTCCGGAGTATGCTCGGCAGGAAATTTAGTTACTGATCGATGCGGAACTGCGATTCCACATCGATCAGAACTTGTTTCGATTCTCCCTAAGATCATGCATTCGGCTCAAGCATCTACTTTTGTTCCTGCTTTTGATCTGAGATCTGTTGTTTTTAAATCTTCTACTAGTGGTTAAGCAGCTGCTGTTGGGTTGGCCAAATTCTAGTACGAGAAGAGAAGTCCATTTTTGGTCCCCGAAGTAGGGCGTTCTTTGTAATAAAGCCCTTCAACTTTTAATTTGTCACATTAAAATCTTCAAACGGGTATGTTGTTTTTTTTCGAATTAAGTTGATCGGAGATGACGTGTCTTGTTGGAGCTGGCAAGAGTTCGACGTGGAAAGCTTGAGTGCGGTGTTCATGCTCGGAAATCCCTTTACTGTAGGTCCGATTATACATGATATTTATCTTCGGGGTTTCTAGTCCCACGCATTAAATGGTAGTTCACTATTAGCAGGAAAGGCTTTTTCTACGCCAAACTCTTGCCAAGTCTAACTTCCACATTAGTTCTAATTCACTTCCTTTGAAGTTGGAGACGCTTGATTGCAAAAATTAAAAGTTCAAGGGCCTGACTTGACAAAATACACTTAATTCAAGGATCAAAAGTGAGAATTTTCCTATATAATTCCCCGTCCTATCACCAGATGCTTTACATGATACGTTCGAGATTAGTAATTTAATATGCATGAACACACGTGTAATACCTAGGCGGATTGTAAAACGGCGCTGCCCTTGGAACTTGAGTCTGGAGATTATAGTTGGAATATTAGATCGAAATCATACGGGGTTAGGTTTGATGAATTTATTAAAAATCGCAAGTAAGTTTTCATTTACGAATTTACCGTGTTGCCCTTTGTATTAGGAAGGTTTAGTGCGGCAAAAAAAATTGTTCGTCTTAAGAGGTTACGGTTATAGTTCCGCAGCTTAAACAAATTCATCGGGTAAAATGTCTTCTTTTGAGTGTCCAAAGTCTAATTATATCAAAATATAAATATAAAACGGGTCAAACATTCAATTATGTTTTTTTTAGTCCCACGGCTTTGAACAGAACCCGCCGTACCCCACGAGGTCAAAAGGGTCAAAGCCCTACAAAATAAATCCCGCGCACGTTGTCCTGCCCCCGCACCCCTTATCTTTAAAAAATCAAAATTCATTTTCTCTCCCAAACAAAAAATGAAAAAAAAATGAAAAAAATCGGTTAATCGGGTCGGGGGCAGAATGGGTAATAACGACGGAAGCTTCGAGAGCGAGGCATGGAGTAACTCGAAGCCCCAAAGCAAAACAGTGTCTTCGTTATTAATTTTGGATTATTATCACGAAAAATCCTAAATTAATACATTTATAATAAATTTACTTTTTATTAATTTTCGTTAAATTTTACGGTTAAATTATTGAATTGGATAACACGTAACTATTGATGGGTGTACCAGCTTAAAATTTTATACTTCGTTTGACATATGTATATCAATTTATTCAATTTAATGGAAACTAATAAAAGGTAAATTTAACACAAATATATAAATTTGAGATTTTTTATGACGAAAAAAATTAATTTGAAATAAATTGACGGGTACGTACCAACTCGGGTCATTTCATGATATTAGCCCCTAATCTTTTTCCTTTTTTTTTAATATTCATTTTTATTTTTCGTATATAATGAAATTTGTAGGCAGGACAGAACGACTAGAGACGACGTTGCATCGTCCTCGGCCGCACCAGCACCACCAACTCCCGCGAAGGAAAAAGCTCTCGTGATCAGTAGTAATGCAAGAGCTCTGAGAAGAAGAAGAAGAAGAAGGAGGAGGAGGAGGAGAAGAAGAAGAAGCAGGAGGAGGAGGAGAAGAAGAAGAAGGCTCGCTCGATAGGTTTCAGGTTGCAGGTGTGGCAATGTCGGGCCCGAAGAACAGCCTGTGGAAGCGGGAGGCGTCGTCCTCGTTCGACACCGACGACGATCGGCGGACGCCGGACGCTCCCCCCGTCGGGCGGTACTCCATCTCCGCCTCCTCGCTCTTACAGCACGCGCTGGCCTCCAAGGTCTGGCGGCTCAAGGACAATATGCAGGTATGCTCCGATGATCTCGCTTCGTTTTCGCTCCCGATTCTCCTTGCGTTGGTCGGTTCCTTCTTGTCGCCGAGCATGAGCGAGCGCTTTCCGCGACAGCCTGCGAAGCAGGATTGCTTGGAGTCGAGACGAGAGTCGAGCGAGCTGCGGGAGCATTCCAGCTCGGAGCTCGACCGAGTCGCACGCTACCTGGGCGTTCTCGCCGAGGAGACGTGGAAACAAGGTGAGGACGCGGCCTCTGTTGTGTGTCTCGACGTGTGTGTTTTTTTGCTTCCTCTTTCTGGTTTTTGACTGGTTCTCTGTTTGCATAAGATCGAGCTGCCGTTGAAGGTGAGGCTGGGATAGCAACACTTGAAAGCGAGAAGGAGAAGTTGTTCTTCCGCTTGTGGACATCAGAAGGTCAGTTTTCCCCTTTCTAAATCGAGTTCTTGCACTCTCCGTGCGAAGGATGCGAGCGGAAGTACATGGATACACGAGCCGAGATTTCAGAAAACTTCTAGTTTTAATCGCAATAAATTTCCGGGATGATGTCCCTGTCGGATGGACGAATAAGAGATAGCTTACTTGCAGGACAATTTTGCAGTGAGGAGGAGGACTAAACTTTAGTTTAAAATGTGAGATCAAGCTGGAATACAACTGATAGAGTTTTAGTGACGAAGAGCAGATCGACTCGAGATTGCACTGTGAGCTATGGGTTCGTGATGCATTTTGATTGATCAGTTGCGAGTCTGAAAATTGAGGTGCCTGTTAGTTCAGGACTGATTATATATACCTCAGACATTCATTAATCTGTAAATGGATGCTAGAAATCAAGCACGAAAATGATTTTTTTTACTTTGTGTATTTTTCTTCCTCCTCCAGAGGATCAGTTCTGGTACTATGGTCAGTGGTCACGAAGAAATTGAATCTCTTGGATTAAAGTAATGGGAGAACTCCCAAGAGATATGATTTTCAGACAAGAGTCCAGTCACCGGTGACGTAACTTCCATTTGGACTCCTTTCGCATTAGCAATTCACCATTGACTGCCCAATCACCAGATTGGTCGACCTAAGTTACACTAATAGTGTTTAAGTGAGAAGGACAGATCATCTTGAAGCCATTTGGTTGGCTATCAGTGCAGGAGGTGCACGCACGTTAATTAACTGTTTGGTTTAGAAGTTGAGCTATCTGTTAGTCAATTGCCGAGTGACTATAGTTCAATTGGTTAATCTTTAATGGAAGCAACGAAATCAGTCAAGATAGTAAATTTCTATCTTCTTTGTGTGCTCTCTTCCTCTTACTATAATAATTTGTTTCAATAGCTCTTCTCTTTAATTTCCAATCCTCCTTTTTTGAGTCAGTACAATATTTTGGGGTCAGAAATTTATTATGGGCATTTTCCTTTTCTATAATGATTTGAAGATGCCTTTAATATCAGGAAACGTAAAGGTATTCTGTCGTTCGAGACCATTGTTTGAAGATGAAGGTACCTCTGCTGGAGAATTCCCTGAAGATCTTACTATCCGTGTCAACACTGGTGATGAAACCAGTACCAACCCTAAGAAAGATTATGAATTCGATAGGGTATATGAACCCAATGTTGGACAGGGTGAGCTAGAAAATGATTCATTTTGTTACATAACTGGCAGCATTTGAAGATTTTTGGGTATATACTAGCTACCTGGCCGATTTGCTTGGAAGTTTGTTATCTTACAGTAGGACTGGTGCATGTACAGCTGAGATATTTAGTGATGTTCAACCGTTGGTTCAATCAGCTTTGGATGGATTTAACGTGTCAATATTTGCTTATGGACAAAGTCACTCAGGAAAGAGGCACACTATGGTATGGTCTCTCTCTCTCAAACATGCTCCCACCGATAATATCTCCATATGAGCTAAGTATCCAAATATCTGGGTATGGGTTTTTAGATAGTATTTTGCTCGTTATTCCCATTGCATTCAAAAGGGAGCAGATCTGGAATGAGAATGTGCTTTTGTGGACTAAACATGTATGGTTGCCATTACAGGACCATTAATGGAGAGACTTCCTTCAGATATCGGTCTTATGTCGTTTGAATTTAAGGAGCTAAAAGTTCTGTCGCTCGCATTTCTTAGATCCGATTATCGGTGGTTCGATCATTTGCAATCATAATTATCTGAACGATTTATCATTAACCATGTTCTCCCGCCATCTCATTCCACAAAATTCTGATATGGAAGTTGACATGATGCTTTTTTTTTTATGCTTTTTAGGAAGGATCTAGCCATGATCGTGGTGTATATGCACGTTGTTTTGAGGAGCTCTTCGATTTAGCGAATTCAGATGCAACTGCTACACCTAGATATGGTTTTTCTGTCACAGTTTTTGAACTCCACAATGAACAGGTTTCTTTTCTATTTACTCACTGTAAATAGCTTCAAGTTTCTTCAGGTGTTCCGAACGCCTACGTTTTGTCTTGATGTGATTGTGCTTCCACATGCTTATTTATGTAGGTACGAGATTTGGTGCATGAATCAGGAAGGAATTCATCGAAAATCTGCATGGGGTCTTTGGAATTTTTTGTCGAACTCACACAGGAAAAGGTCGACAATCCATTGGGTTTTTTGAAGGTCCTGAAAGAGGCATTTCAAAGTCGAGGAAGTGATGTTTTAAAGTCCAATGTTTCTCACTTGTATGCTCTGAATTCTACGCACCCTCTCTCATTGCTATCCTGGGTTTTGTGCTTTCTGGATATATCATGATGACAATGTTAGCTAGAAACTTTATTTTGCTGAAGGGTGAATAACTGTGCAATTCTTTTTGAAAGAATTCAAGATTAATTCATGAGGATAAGAAGAATGAAAAATAAATTCGAGCAATTAGTACAGATATGCCGTAATGTCTACTGCCGTCAATTACCCCTCTTAAACAGGTTCAATTGACTGTGTTGCCAAGCTTCTGAAATGAACGATGACGTTTTCCTTAATTAGATGATAGGAACAGCATTTGTGCATACCTTTCATAATGAGAGTTTCAAGCCCCTTTTGGCTGCTTTATCCTAATTAGATGGATTAGCTTGTTGCGCTGAACTTATTTATAGGTATTGCATGGAAGAGGATGCTGCTCAACCTAGTTGTTTGCTTTTACTTTCAGGGAGTACCACACCTTAATAATTTCGGAAAGGATGTTTTCTTTTATTTTTTGAAGCAACAGCTGAATACGAGCGATACACATGATAATTACAAAACGTTATTACTTGATTAAGCACACAGCAATGGCCTCTAAACCTCCCACCTCCAACCCATTGTTGAGGTTTTAATTGATACTCTTTTATTCATTCTCCTGTTATATAATCAGGATCGTCACAATCCATATATCCCACAACAACTTGATTACCGGAGAAAACCCTTATAGCAAGCTTTCTCTTGTTGATTTGGCTGGAAGTGAAGGGTTGAATGTGGAAGATGGTAGTGGGGAACGGGTGACAGAACTTCTACATGTTATGATGTCACTTTCTGCGTAAGTCTTGGCTTGTTTGCTATCATTCTTATTATTTTACTGTATAGTTAACTTTATTTTAGTAACAATATTTCAATAGTGGTTGCAATACTGTTTCTGGTCCCTTTTTGATGAGTAACTGCCTGTGCTTGCTTTCTAGCAGTATATGAACATCCGAAGACACAAATCTTTCCTGACACTGATTATCTGCTACTTTCAAATTGTTAGGCTTCTCTACCCCATTTTGATTCATTAATGTGTTGGTGCTTCAGACCTATCTATGTCCTCAACTATAATTTATTCAATGAAAGAAGTCCAAACTCATCAATTTAGAAGTGCTATATCTTGCGGTTCTTTACTTTGTTATTAAGCGGAAGTCAAATCTTAATTGCAGATTGAATGTGTTGACTGGTCTATTGTTCTCTAGTAAATAACTCTGATATTTTGGAGTGCCCTTGGGCACGGGGTTGTTGATGTAGAAGGGAGACATGCAGACATTACCTCTTATGTTTCCATAAACTTTTAAGATTTAAAATTTTGATTAATTTGTTTTTTTTGTTGATATAATGTTTTATGACTTGTCTTTCATTTTGTAGGTTGGGGGATGTTTTGTCTTCATTGTCGTCAAAGAAGCATATCGTTCCATACGAGAATTCAACGCTAACTAGAGTACTTGCTGATTCACTAGGCACCTTTTGGCATTGACTTTCTTGGTTGCATACATGATATTTGGATTTTCCGAAGGTGGTGGATATTACAAGTGGGTGTACTAGCTTGTGCCTGCTAGGATAGCACAAGTTCTCTCTCTCTCTTCCTATTTTATTTACTTTAATGGTACATAAAAGGTTAACTAGTTGACATCTTCACATTAATAATTTTTTATAGAAAGAACTTGATATGTTGGAGTGCCTGATGAAGAGATATGGAATTTTAATTGCTGATACCTTTTCAATGGATAAGAAAACTTATGAAAGGGATATGACATATCTGGCGCACAATATCTCGTGAAACTATTCATACAATATTATCGAGTGATAAAATAATTCACTGGGCTGCATCTTGCTTTGAAATATTTAGCCTTAAGATATTATGAAATAAGTTTGTGGATGGCCGCCTTTCCTTTTTTTTTTTTTATCTTAGGTTACATTCCATCAACATACTCATTGGTGATTTGGTGGTGCATAATCTAGGTTGTTGTTTAATCGATGTTATTTTGCTTAGAAAAGCTCCTGACATACCTGGATTGATGTTGTCCTCTTAGCTGCTAATAGGTGTTCATGACAATACCTGCACCATTTTCTGGAGAAGTGTCTCATCTTTGCAGAATGACTGTTTTTTACATCTTTTTTATTTGAGCCTAAAAAAAAGTAGTTCATTTCCACTCCTTTGGCAACGAAGGACCATTATGAATTTGATGCTTATTCACAAGATATTGAAGGTTGCACCTTTTCTTTTTTCCTTGAGTCTCAATTAAAACATTTGAGCAAAGAAACTTTGCAGTGACACACATTAATTTCTAATGGCTTGTTCATTTTCTTTTGCTAAATGTCTCTACAGGCGGAAGGTCCAGGACTCTGCTGATTGTTAATGTGTCTCCTGATGCATCAAATGTATTTGAGACGTTATAATCCCTTAATTTTGCTTCCAGAGCACGAAATGCTATGCTAAGCCTTGGAAACAGAGATACGATAAAGAAATGGCGGGACGTTGTATGTTCTGTATTCCTGAGTAGACTGAACCTTAGTTGGGATTTTTGGTTGAACTAGTGTCTATGGTCTATGGGCACAAACCCACATTAGAAAATTTTGTTTGTTTCTCCCTTTAAAGCTTTTGATTTTAGTGGACGTGAGAAGGTGTCCATGTCTGACCTCACCTTTCGGTCGCCTGTTGCCTGAATAAGTGACTTGTCAATTTTTATTAAATTTCTAGTTATCATGAGTATACTCTTTTCAGCTTGTCCTTGTGATGTGATTGGTTCGATGTCTTGTCATCATAATAGAATGCAAAAGCACTTTAATACAGAATTTCTGGCCCCTGCGATAACATATTTCTATTATTTGTCATGAAAAAGAGGAAAAAGCACTGAAATTTTGCAAGTGGGTTTCTTTATCTTTTTTAGGTCAATGATGCGAGGAAGGAGTTGTATGAAAAAGAGAGAGAATTACAAGATGTTAAACAAGAGGTTCTGGGGCTAAAACAAGCGTTGAAAGATGCAAATGATCAATGTGTCCTTTTTAATGAAGTTCAGAAAGCATGGAAGGTCTCTTATACTCTGCAGTCAAATTTGAAGGTGTGCACCTTCATAGTGGTATTTCTCCAAGTTTTGTGTGAAACTTGTATGATGATCAATTACTTTGGTTGATACATGTCCTTTGCACTCCTGATTATCAAAGTTTTTAGTTAGGATAAAGTTTATGGAAAATATTCTATGATGTTAACACCCATAATTAACTTTTTCCTCATCTCTAGTATGTGCATGAGCAGTTCAATATAAATCCAAGAAAATGTCATGTTTTAATTTGGAAATGATTTGCATATGTGGTTTTTAATGAGGATTATGTACTAAAATCGTGCGGCGACTTAGACTTCCTTGGATTGTTGGGATGCCTAGGCCAAGGCCTTTTCTCGATTGCTCGCTCGCTCGGATCGTAGAGAGAGAATCTAGAGAGAGAAGCTTTGGGAGAGAATGAAAATTACTTCTATTGCTTAGATGATCAAAATAAGAAAGAGGGCACCCCTTTATATAGTAGAGGGCCTCATATTACATCCGTTGATCGACTATTGATCTAGTGGCCGATATCGCATCGTCTTACGTGCTAACCACCCGCATTTATGGATACGGCGCAATTACCGTATCGGCCGGCCCTAGGGTGTTCTAGAAACTCCATTAGGGTTTTGGATTAGTCTTTGTCGATGTTGCACGGTTCTCGGTGCATGAAAACCTCTTGACCGTGATAGAAACATCCGCAATCATCTCCTCCTTCCAGTTGAGATGAAACTCGAAACTCGGTGGACTACATCAGCTTATTGCCCGACGCCTTAATCCATCATATCATCTCCTTCTTGACCACAGAAGATGCTGTCAAAACCAGCATTCTATCCAGGCAATGGCATTCCACTTGGACTAGAATTGGACCTCTAGTCCACACATATCACTCTCTGTTTTCCCGAGGACCGTATTCCGCAGTTGCACAACTTCATCCGTTTTGTCAAATCAGTGCCGTCACGCTGCACCGCAACTGAGGTGAAGAGGTTTTTCTTTGATGCTGCTTATCACCCCTTCTTGGATTCAACTGTTGATGCATGTCTCGAGTTTGTAATGGGGCATGGCGTTCAAGAGTTATCATTGAACCTGCATCGCCAGTGGTTGGGAGCTTATGTGTTGCCGCCGTACTTCTTCCACCTCACAACGCTGGTGAGTTTGCAATTGTCTCGATGCAATCTTTGGCTTATGGATGCCATGAATTGGTCTTTGCTGAAGACACCGTGCGTTGGATATGCCCGATTGATCAATCTTGCGTTGAAGAGAGACTTTTGAGTGGCTGCCCTGTTTTAGAATTTCTTGAGTTGAAAGGGTGCGAAGGCTCCCAGTTTTGCGTGGAACTTGTATGATGATCAATTACTTTGGTTGATACATGTCATTTGCACTCCTGATTATCAAAGTTTTTAGTTATGATAAAGTTTATGGGAAATATTCTATGATGTTAACACCCATAATTAACTTTTTCCTCATCTCTAGTATATGCACGAGCAGTTCAATATAAACCCAGAAAAATGTCATGTTTTTAATTTGGAAATGATTTGCATCTGTGGATTTTAATGAGGATTATGTACTGAAACCGTGCGGCGACTTAAGACTTCCTTGAATTGTCGAAATGCCTAGGCCAAGCCTTTTCTCGATCGCTCCCTCCCTCCCTCACTCGGATCGTAGAGAGAGAATCTAGAGAGAGAAGCTCTGGAAGAAAATGGAAATTACTTCTATTGCTTGGATGATCAAAATAAGTAGGAGGGCACCCATTTATATAGTAGAGGACATCAGATTACATCCGTTGATCGACTATTGATCTAGTGGCCGATATCGCATCGTCTTACGTGCCAACCACCCGCATTTATGGATACGGCGCAATTACCGTATCGGCCGGCCCTAGGGTGTTCTAGAAACTTCATTAGGGTTTTGGATTAGTCTTTGTCGATGTTGCACGGTTCTCGGTGCATGAAAACCTCTTGACCGTCATAGAAACATCCACAATCATCTCCTCCTTCCGGTTGAGATGAAACCCAAAACTCGATGGACTACATTAGCTCATTGCCCGACACCTTAATCTATCATATCATCTCCTTCTTGACCACAAAAGACGCCATCAAAACCAGCGTTCTGTCCAAGCAATGGCTTTCCACTTGGACCTCTAGTCCACATATCACTCTCTGTTTTCCCGAGGACCATATTCCACAGTTGCACAACTTCATCCGTTTCGTCAAATCAGTGCTGTCACGCTGCACCGCAACTAAGGTGAAGAGGTTTGTCTTTGATGCTGCTTATCACCCCTTCTTGGATTCAACTGTTGATGCATGTCTCGAGTTTGTAATGGGGCATGGCGTTCAAGAGTTATCATTAAACCTGCATCGCCAGTGGTTGGGGGCTTATGTGTTGCCACCGTACTTCTTCCAACTCACTACGCTGGTGAGTTTGCAATTGTCTCGATGGAATCTTTGGCTTATGGATGCCGTGAATTGGTCTTCGCTAAAGACACCGTGCATTGGATATGCTCGATTGATCAATCCTGCGTTGAAGAGACTTTTGAGTGGCTGCCCTATTTTAGAATTTCTTAAGTTGAAAGGGTGCGAAGGCTCAAAGCTAATCAGTGTTGAATCTAGAGGTTTAAGAGAGTTGGTCATTGACTCTCCCACTTTACTTACTAGGGATGGTTCGATCTTGAATATTAGGGCACCTCATCTTCTCAAGTTGCGCCTATTGGGCAATAATACAAGCATAGAGTTCAGACTAGATCGAGTGACTTCTTTGGTTGAGGCTGAGTTGAATTTCAGCATGACGATTTCTGGACTCAATAATGCTAAGGCTAGTGTCGATCTTGTCTAGGGGCTTCTCGAGAGGCTGCGTCACGTCACGAGATTGATGATAGGGAGCTAGTGCCGTCAGGTGCGAGCCTATTTAATTAATTTTTAAATCTTGTGCCCTGTTAAATTGAAGTTGCGGACAGACAATACACACTATGCCATTTGCTTAGGGTTAAATTGTATTATTGTTTGTTTGGTGCCTTAATGATGCCATGCTCATAAATTGTTAATTCAATGAAACATTTTCATTTTATAGAGATTCAGTGAAACTTTTGCTGGATGAGGCCTTTTCCTTTTTTGTAATAGGACTTATACACATCTTATTGCCCTTGTGGATCCAACAATACATTCAAATTTTGATAAGATTTCTTGACAAGCATTTGCTATTTGTTTGCTCATTTGTTTGGTCTATAGAGATCCTTGGAACTATACGCATGTCTTGGGAATGGTCTTCTTTATTGCCTGAAGAAGTAAAAGTAATTGGTATCTGCTTCTTCCCCCACGACTGATGTGCAGGTGCTGTCATTAACGGAGGCGAGAGTGTTTCTTCCATCCATAGAATGTCGTCATCTGACATTCCACGTCACAGAGGACCATGAGGGAGTTCCCACTATAGTGAAAATACTCGAAAGTTCACCAAGCTTGGAGAAGTTACTCATACAAATGACTTGCACACGCAGTTCTGCGGTACACAACTGTTAGAACCCTCCCATTTCACTTTTAACAGCATATTTGCATGAACATGCATAGTTTGTGAATTTCAGCCTTAGGCCGCATATAAACCTGTCATTTTTTTTCTTCTCGTGATTGACAATCGTCTTTGCACCTCTGCCATTTTAGTTGACTTCGGGATTCTCCATCGATTTATATTTCTCTTAATATAGCAACTGCTATTTTATCTCGTCAAACCTGGATATTTGTCTGTTCCAATTGCATCGCTCATCGTATGTCATGATGTTCTATATCCGCAGACTAAGTTCATTGCAGAGATTGTTGAACGTTGCAACTTGGATGCAGAAGAATTTTGGAATTCTGCAAACCGAAGGATCTACCAATGTCTGATGCATCTCAAGAATGTCGAGATTATTGATCCCGGTGCCGATTGGCTAGCGTGGGGAACTGTTCTTTCCCTGCTCGAGTTTCTCCTCCAGAATGTACCTTGGCTGGACAAAATAGAGATCAATAGTAACAATTCCAAATTGTCCAAGGCTGATGACATGGCTCGGATAATTTTGTCGCACCCAAATCGTTCTCCTAGCTTGAAGGTCATTCACAGTTATCCCTCCCAAGGATGCTCTTCTAAAAGTGTGCATAACGCCTGATTTTTACATCAGCCTGGATGTTGTCTATTGCTCCTTTTTGGACACCGGAATTTTAGCCTAGCACTTACAGGAGTTCTGACTGCATGCATTTAGAGTACAATGGCCTGGTGCTGAAATTTGAAATATCATCCCTTTATGTTTGTTCAACTGGACTTTTGGCTCAACTTAATATTGTTTCGTGAGGTTACAATGTGCATCTGTCTGAGAAAGCTGCTAATAAGGATGTTTACCTGAGTGAATAACACAGGTTTACGGGCATCAACAGCCCACAAGTTACACTCACGATGAATAACATTTGATTAATTAACATTCTCAGAAACCTTTAATTAAATAAGTTAATATTAGCCTGGGTTAACACCACATGCTTAGATATGTTTGGACAGGTAGATATATGCTTGAGCACATTTTGGTAGATTTACATGAGAATCGATTTCTTGAACATGTGTATGCAAGGTTGGCGGCCTTCAATTTGTTTGTGTGTGAGAGAGTAATGCTGGCTACAAATAGCATACGGTATGGATTGTATAAGGAAGAAGAAGAGAAAAGACAGGAAAAGATAAAAAGCAAAGGCAAGCTAACATACTTTTGGTTCTCTGCTCGTGCACTAATTACCTCTACATAGTGTACCTTTCCAATGACCAGAGAGAAGTCGTGATAAAATTGTCTCAAGATAGTAACCAATCTGATAACTAAGCTTGTACAGACCTTTCTATTTCACAGATACCATTTACTCTCCAACCAGGGCTCCGAGAAAAGAACTAGCGTTGTTCATAGGCTATCCTCCAGAAAAAACAAGACGAACAATTTCTTTGATAAAGAACATTTCTATTGGTTAAGTTCTCACAAGAAAAATTTGTTAAGCAAAAAGTTAGTGTGTTAATATTTGTGATTATATCTTGTACAATTACTTTTACACAGTTGGATCAAATCGGGCAGCTTCCAAAGATCACCTACCTTGAAGGGTTTTTCTCTGCCGAGGTATGTGCATCCTAGCTTTGATGATCATCTCCTTTAGCACAAGGGCACAAGCTTCAATGCATGATGACCAACAACGCGATGAACAATTTCAACTCTCTTGAAATGATTTGCTACAAACACGATGCTCTCATGTCGCGAACCTCATAATTCATTGTCAACAGAGTTATGAGATTAAGGGAATGAATCGGGTGATTGGCTTCTCATAGAAAGGATGTCGCTGGTCCGGTAGCTCTTCACCGTGGTCGAGGCACATGGGCTAGAATCCCATCTACCAAGACAGACAAGGCTTTGATCGTTTTGCGAGTGTAAGTATCTGGGCGTACAAAGCGATCGAAGAAAAGGAGGTCAGTGGCGGCGATCCAGGTGGAACGCCACCGCTTGGAGACGATGTTGGTCTTAACAATGACTTCAATGTGAAAGAACGATAGATGCGGCGGATTATGGCTTCGGGTAAGGTGCTGATGAAATCGTGGGGATAAAATTGTTGAGGTTCCTTTATCGGAATTTTCCCTACCGAATTAATAGGCAAGCATGAATAAATAAAGAATTTGATCGTGAAAATAAATTAGAATATTTCCATGTGACAAAAGAGGTGAAGGTCTACGATGAAAAAATATGTTTAGAGAAAAAAGGCTTTAAATGGCTTATGCGATACATATATTTTTTTATCAAAGACTTTGCGAAATGAAATAGCAAGGGAATAAATAATAATCTCGTGAAAATAAACTAAACTTGGAATAAATACAAAAAAGATTCTTTTTATTCGTTTAACAGGACAATCTAAGAATAACAACCACAAGCTTGAAACTCTTTTTAATCGATTTTAATAAGATGATGATTGAAATTTAATATCATAATATTTTTTCTTTGAATTATAAATTTGAGGTGGAACTAGTAATTCTTAGAGTTATATCATAATTTCTAGTTACTATGAGTTAGTCGAAAATTATTCCGACCTTTTAAAATAAAATTTATCAAATTTTTTTTGACTGCAATCGTACAAATCATAATTATTAACAATTTTTGAAATAAATTATTATTTATCAAGTATAATAAAAATCACCTTATTTAATTATGGTAATTAACATCTTGATTATTTAAGTTTGATGATAGAGTTATCTTACAATGTAATTTTCATTTAATTGGGTAATTTATTATTTGATAACTTAATCCAAGTATGTTTGCTTATGTACTGAGCATGCACTTCATTAAATTATGGAAAAACTAATCATGGATATTGAAATAAAACTAAATTAAAGGTTTCAAGGGCTACCTATAACCAGTCGGGTATGTTGGGTTCTTATCCTTGCATCTGTCCATTAGAATCATGTACCCTCGCTTTTAGGTCTCTAAAGACTCCCCTGTTTCCACAAATTAGATATTGAGCTCAATAATGATAGGCTTGAAAAAATTTAAAAAACTTAAAATCTTATAGAACATATTTTTTTCGGATAATTACAGGAAAAATCCTAAAACTTATTATGATAATGCGTTTGAGTTCAAAAACTTACATTCCGTGCATTTAAGTCCTCAATCATGCAATTTCGATGCACTTGAATCTTTTTTGTGAACTTTGTCAATTTTTGGTTGACGGAAAGTGTCACATTCAAGAAAACTTAACGAAGGTAACAAAACGCTAATGATGTCACAATTTGTTTCGATTTTCCAAAAGTTGGACAAAATCAAACATGAAATACGATTTAGTTCCGATTGCAAACTTTTTTGCCAGGAAAAAATCGCCTTGAATCAAATTAAACCACCAAAAAGGGGTGATGTTAAAATTGGACTTTATCTTCTTTTGGGTTGCAAAGAAGTACTTCAAGTTTGTGTCTCCCAAATCAAACACAACCCAAGGAGTTATTTGCCTATTCATAAATTTTTGTACAGAGAAAGCGGAGCAATATCTCAACCAAAACACCACTTCATATGTCCATCCTCCAAAGCACTACCATTAACCTCTTTCCTTAAGAGGTTCAAATTTATAGATGAACTAAACTCGAAAGAAGTTTAAATTAGGTACATGTAAAAATCCTAATACTGTCATAGTTCGTGTAACATTACTGTCAAAAGAGAGTGAATACTAATGAGCAGTGTAGTGCCCAGGGCAACATATGCTTGCCATGCGATCAACGAGAAACCCGGACTTTCATATGCTTTTATGAGGACACCAATTCAAAAGGATAATCGAAGATAACCTCAGCAATTTTGGAAGCTCTTCGATAGCTAAGCACATTTCGGAAAACACCAAGGAGTTTCGACAGAACAACGGCTTGAAGATGTTTTGGTATATATTGTGGGAACAATTCAGCCTTGATAATCAACTTCTCCAGCACAAGTGCATCCCCCAGAAGAAACTTAATCAAGGCGAGCACATGTTTCCACCCCAAACTATCTTCACAGCCAATGATCTCAACTCTCTTGAGATGTTTTGCCAAACATTCAAAGCTCCCCTTCCGTGAGCACAAAAAATCTTCGTCAAAGGTATAACGTGCTTTAGATTCTTCATCAAGCACAAACTGCACATAGATACCCCATTTAAGAAACTTATTTCACATTAGATGCGGATCCACGAGAAAAAAAAATATCATTGGCTCACTAAAATTTCAAACAAACAACTTCCACTTGTCCACTGCAGATGCTAGTTAGTTTTACTTTAATACAAGCTCTCAAACTCGTCCACACATATAAAACATGTTCCCTTTCTGGGTGCTCATCGCTAAACTCTTAGTTCAAGATCGAACGCTACATAGCAGCAAAAGAACCTCGAGTACAACACTGCAGTTACTTTAAGACATGAACTCAAACAGCTTAATGTTGCCCTGCACAAATGTCGAGTAGGGCTCACAAAGTTTCGGGCAATCTTCGATTGCTGGAACAAAAAAGAGGTTACGATTGATATTCTTTATGTACTTCTAAAGTTTTAACTCATTGTTTAAACATTAATGCAAAGGAGAAGTCAGCACAAGAAGCGAACTGAAAATACCACAGCAAAGGAACAAACCTTGGGGAAGCGAATCAGGCGTATGACTAATTTTTCCAAGCATTGTGAACTTTGTAGCATGTAAGCTATCCCGGGAAGGTCCGATTGACTAACCGGTGCATGTAGTATCAGATTCTGATGTTTTGACAGTGGCGATGGCACTCCATCCATCTCCAAAAGGGACAGAACCTAAGCACATTGAGCGAGCGAAATATAAAAAAATTTAATTAATATTTCTTTTTCCATTCAACATGTATAAAGAATAACAAAAATTACAGTATATCCAGATTTGTTACCGTCCGACCCTGTCTCCCAGCAGGAAAAAGACCGATAAGGATACTGCAAGTAAAAATGAACAAGGGAATGTCTTTTAAGAATTGAGACTATTTACATAAGCTTCTCATGTAAAACTTTTGATCATTGAAAGATCTAAAAATTCAAGTAGTTGGTCACATGAGACAGCACTTTGTTATTGACTGAAGTTTCCAAGTGAATCGTTCCATTGCCGTTGTAAAATATTCTGAGGATACTCTGTAACATATATTATGGAATAGCGGCTTAATGTGACAAGAGAACATGATCCAGTTCTGTCAACCTAAGATGAGTAGGTCCATTACCCTTCGTCATATACCCAAATAGCTGTAGTTCCTCCATAAACTTGAAAGAATGAAATGAAAAAAGCAACTCTTTCAGATAATCTCTTCGTGCATTTTTCTTGTGAAAATCAAGCGTTTGACAATGTCACGCTGAGCAACATCCAAAATAATAAGCAATATCTAGCGGCAGTCATTGTCCCTCATTGAGTGATCCCAGATCCATTTACTTGAAATTAGACAGAGGGAAAAAAAGCTCCGAAGGCTCACCGTTTCGTAGCAACTCGAAACACAAACTTATGGATCGTCCTATCTGCTAATAATTAATCACAATTGAGTTCACGAGGAATCCACTTGATGAAACCTAGAATGCCACATAGAGCTGATGTCACTCATCCAGGGCAACATACAGCACAAAACGGTGCTAATCAGAGACCCCATTCAACACGGGTACGTCTTATAAATGGTAAGAAATATTGAGCTTGTACCTTCAAACACCAACCGCCGATGGTGATTGTAGGAACGTTGCGCAGCTTCTCAAGAAGTTCCTTCAACAAGTCGCGGCCCGCGGAGCAAGACAACCCATCATCAGTTTCAACGTAAAGATCTAACTTGGCTTCCACCAAAGAAGACACATGGTCAAGTCTGAAGTCAGCATGAGTCCCTTGCAATACACGCAGCGAGAGCAAATTCGGGGCCCGAAGATTCTCCACGCAAGAGTTATAAGAAGTGCCGCGGCCCTTGAGTACCAACTTTTTCAAGCTTAATGAATCTATCGTAACGTTCCTCACGCCCCAGCACCCGCGCAACTTGAGGGACTCCAAAACAGGACTTCCCCTGAAGATTCGCCCGAGGAAATCATCACTCAGCTCCGCATAATCGATGGACAAGACCTTTAGACAAGGCCAGCTAACAGTCGCGCCCAACGAGAAACAGCACCCAGCGACATCCAGGCGCACCAACCAGCTCAAGCCATACAAGATCCCCGGCAGTGTATAAACACCCATCGTCTGCTCACTCAGCCACAAGCGGAGATGCTCTACGCGGCGCCGCACCGCGAAGTGGAGCCAGAGGTCGACCTTGGGGCAGTCGTCCTCGTCGCACACGAAGCCGATGACGTGAAACCTCCTCACCGTGACCGTGGGTGGGGAGGTGCTGCACTGGCTCAGGACGCTGTCGACGAGAGACGAGAAGTCCAAGGTTCTGAGACGCCGGTGTTCACTATATCCAATGAAGACAAGGTCGGCGGTGGTGGTCCAAGTGGACCGCCAGCGCTTGGAGAGGACGCTGGTCTTGACGACGTCTCGGATGGTCAGAAACGAGAAGATGTGGTGGATCACGGCGTCCGGCAAGGCGCTGATGTGATCCCTAGGGGGGCTCAGAGGAGGAGGTCGGTTTTGTAAGCCGCGGTTCGGCCGGTCGCCGGAGGATTTGCACCTGGCGCCCTGCACGGACGTCTCCGCCATGGATTACAAAATTCTAGGGTTTCTCTGCGGACGTTCCCCGAGTTCCCTGTCCTTTTCTTTTTATAGGCACTGCTTTTTATCCTTATATTTTTTCTTTTTATTTTTTTTCCTATTTTCGTGGCAATTTGAAAAAAAGAGTTTTTTTTCTTTTTATCGGTCATAATTTTTTTTTTTATCTGTCATGCTCCTACTCCTACTTTACCTCTCGACTCGCTTTCAAACTTTTGCCCGACCTCTTACAGAGCGTGGGGGTCGAAACCCACACTTGAAACTATGCGTCCCCACCCCTAACCCCTCTAAGAAGGTGGGGAATCGAACTCCCCATATTTGAGAAGGGTGGTCACTGGAGCAACCCTCAGTAGTTAATTTGAAAAAAGAGTCGGACGACCAAAATTAAACTTCAACTTTGAGAAAGTTAACCCGCTCGATATTTCTTTTCCTTTGTAATATGCACGTTCGTCAATCACTATAGGATAGAAAATCCCTAATTTCCTATATTTGTTACTCTCTCTTTTCTCTGTCTACTCCACCACGGCCATCACCACACTTTGTCGCTCCCCGCCCACTACTACATTTGACCATACTTCAGAGTCGCATCACCTCCCACTAAGACTGGCAATTTTGTACAGAACCATTTACATGACACAAAAGTAAGCGTGTTCCGTACGGTTAAAGCTTGATCAATTTCATGTCAGGAACGGGTCAACATATGTAGGCACGAATCATAAACATGTTGATCACAAATTGAATCTTTTAACGCTTTTATTACGCTCTTAGACATGTTTAACTAAAAAAAAGTTAACTTATACTTGGCTCAACACTATTTGTTTAGATACTATACACGTTAGTACTCCACAGGGGAGGGACGACCATGCCGGTCTCATGCAAGCCTCGAGCTCGCCCGATTCCGGCGAGCCAAGCCTCGCAAGCTTCAATCGAGCTCGCCAACCTGTGGCGAGGCTGGAGCGTCGCCGATCTGACGAGACTTGAGCGCACCGGCCTCGGGCAGGCTGGGCTTGTCGGAATCGAGCGAGCTCGTCCTCGCTTGTGGCCAGTCGCCGGCCATCACATGGCCAGCCGTCAGCCAAAAATAAAGGAAAAACAAAAAACAAAATAAGAAAATAAAAATGATTAAAAATTCGATTTTAAAAGATAAAAAATTAAAAAAAATTGAAATTATTAAAATGAATGCACAAAGTAAAATCAAATCATATTTTATATACCAAACGTCGGAAAATATTCTCTAGTCAATTTTCAGGTTTCAGCCAAACATCGGAAGTTTTTTTATTTTCTTGGGTAATGGCTTCATGAAAAATATTTTCTAGAAATGTTGTATTTTTTGGGAAACAAACAGAATCTCAATTTAAAAAAAATTATAAAAATTGTTCACTAACTTTATATTGTATGAAAATGTTTTAGCAGTATAGTTTTTAAAAAAAGTCATAAGAAACAAATTTTCTTAGATTTGGTTAACTATAGAAGTGTTTTAGCAATATGAATTTGGTTGGATATTGATCGGGATATTTACATTACAAATAAATTGATCATAAACGGGTTAATGGGTCGATTTGGATCTGGTCATAAATAATCCGACCCAAACCTAACCCGACCCACCCGTTTAATAGGTCTACACGTAAGTAAAGAGATTCCCTGTCCTATCACCCAATACTTTACATGATATATATCGAGATTAATGTGCATGATGAACACACAGAGTTAGGTTTGATGAAATTATTAAAAATTGCAAGTAAGTTCTCATTTATGAATTTACCGTGTTGCCCTTTGTATTATAAAGGATCAATACGGCAAAAAAAATTGTTCGTTCGAGTGGTTACGGTTATAGTTCCGCGGGTTAAACAAATTCATCGAACAAAATGTCTTTTTTTGAGTGTCCAAAGTCTAAATAGATCAAAATATAAATATTAACCGGTCAAACATTCAATAATGTTTTTTTTAAATCCACGGCTTTGAACAGAACCCGTCGTACCCCGTGAGGTCAAAAAGGTCAAAACCGTACAAAATAAATACCGCGCCCTTTATCTTTAAAAAAATCAAATTTCGTTTTCTATCCCTAACAAAAAGAAAAAAACAAATAACAAGTTCAATTAATCGCGTCGGGCGCAGAATAGGTAATAACGACGGAAGCTTCGAGAGTGAGGCGTGAAGCAAGGTGGAGCCCCAAAGCAAAAGAACATCTCTAGTTATCACGAAAAATCTCACACTGATACATTTATGACAAATTTATATTTCGTTAGTTTTCATTAAATTTTAAAATTAATACCACGAAAAACTTCAAACTGGCAAACTTATGATAAATTTACCCAAAACTAATTTTTTAAACACGAAAAACCCTAAACTGATACACTTGCAAAAATTTTACCTTTCTTTAGTTTCCGTTCAATTTTATCTTCAAATTTCTGAATTGGATAATACGTGGCAATCGACGAGTGTATCAGTCTGGGGTTTTACAGGTGTACAAGTTTGTAATTTTTCGTGGTATTAATCCAATTTAACGGAGGGTAAATTTGTCACAAATGTACCAATTTGAGATTTTTGGTGGTCAAAAAATTAGTTTATTATAAATTTGTCATAGATATACCAGTTTGGAGTTTTTTATGGTCAAAAAATTATTGTGGGGTAAAATTATCAGTTTGGATTATTTCGTAGTATTAACCCTACATTTTACTGTCAAATTGCTGAGTTGGATGACACGTAACAGTTGATGGGTATACCAATTTGAGATTTTACCTTCCGTTAGTCACATGTACACTAGTTCGTGATACTAATCCAATTTAACGAAAATTGACAGATGGTAAATTTGTCACAAATGTGGGGTTTTTAGTGCCACATGTACCAATTTGAAATTTTTCATGGTATCAATCCTTAATTTTTCCCTTATTTTCTTTTAATATTCACTTTTATTTTTCTTATATAATGAAATTCGTAGGCAGGAGGAGTGTAGACGACGTCGCATCGTCCTCGGCCGCACCAATACCGCCACCTCCCGCGAAGGAAAAAAGCTCTCATAATCAGTAGTAGTGCAAGAGCTCTGAGAAGAAGAAGAAGAACCGGTGGCAATGTCGGACCCGAGGAACAACCTGTGGAAGCGGGAGGTGAGCGGCCTCGAGCCGTGGGAGGCGGCGTCCTCGTTCGACGCCGACGACGACAGGCAGAGGCCGAACGTCGAGCCGCGGGAGGCGTCGTCCTCTTTTGACGCCGCCGATGATCAGCGGAGGCCGGACGCTCCTCCCGTCCGGCAGTACTCCATCTCAGCCTCCTCGCTCTCTCAGGACGCGCTGGCCTCCAAGGTCCGGCGGCTCAAGGACAATGTGCAGGTATGCTCCGATGATCACGCTTCGTTTTCGCTCCCGATTCTCCTTGTGCTAGTCAGTTCCTTCTTGTCGTTGAGCTTGAGCGAGCGCTTTCCGCGACAGCTTGCGAGGCAGGATTGCTTGGAGTTGAGACGAGAGGCGAACGAGCTGCGGGAGCATTCCGACGCAGAGCTCGACCGAGTCACGCGCTACCTGGGCGTTCTCGCCGACGAGACGTGGAAACAAGGCGAGGACGCGGCCCCTGTTGCTTGTCTCGACGTGTGTGTTTTTTTGCTTCCTCTTTCTGGTTTTTGACTGGTTCTCTGTTTGCATAAGATCGAGCTGCCGTTGAAGGTGAGGCTAGGATAGCAACACTTGTTAGCGAGAAGGAGAAGTTGTTCTTCCGCTTGTGGACATCAGAAGGTCAGTTTTCCCCTTTCTAAATCGAGTTCTTCCACTCTCCGTGCGAAGGATGCGAGCGGGAGTACTTGGATACACGAGCCGAGATTTCAGAAAGCTTCTAGTGTTAATCGCAATAAATTTCCGCGATGATGTCCCTGTCGGATGGACGAATAAGAGATAGCTTACTTGCAGGACGATTTTGCAGTGAGGAGGAGGACTAAACTTTAGTTTAAAATGTGAGATCAAGCTAGAATACAACCGATAGAGTTTTAGTGATGAAGAGCAGATCGACTCGAGATTGCACTGTCAGCTATGGGTTCGCGATGCATTTTGATTGATCAGTTGCGAGTCTGAAAATTGAGGTGCCTGTTAGTTCAGGACTGATTATATATACCTCAGACATTCATTAATCTGTAAATGGATGCTAGAAATCAAGCACGAAAATGATTTTTTTTACTTTGTGTATTTTTCTTCCTCCTCCAGAGGATCAGTTCCGGTACTTTGGTCAGTGGTCACGAAGAAATTGAATCTCTTGGATTAAAGTAATGGGAGAACCCCCAAGAGATATGATTTTCAGACAAGAGTCCAGTCACCAGTGACGTAACTTCCATTTGGACTCCTTTTGCATTAGCAATTCACCATTGACTGCCCAATCACCAGATTGGTCGACCTAAGTTACACTAACAGTGTTTAAGTGAGAAGGACAGATCATCTTGAAGCCATTTGGTTGGCTATCAGTGCAGGAGGTGCACGCACGTTAATCAACTGTTTGGTTTAGAAGTTGAGCTATCTGTTAGTCAATTGCCGAGCGACTATAGTTCAATTGGTTAATCTTTAATGGAAGCACGGAAATAAGTCAAGACAGTGAATTTCTATCTTCTTTGCGAACATAATGCTGGCAGATGAGCATAAGATTGAGAAGGAGCAGAATGCGCAGCTCAGAAATCAACTTGCTCAATTGGTACAGCTGCAGCAGGATCGGAAGCTGCAGATACAGCAGCAAGATTCAGCTATTCAGTCTTTGCAAGTTCGTCTTATTTGAAACTTAATGCTTTTCAGCATGTGCTTTTTCATCTATCTCAATACTAAGTTGATCATATGCTTTGCTGTTCTTTTATAGATCTTGTATTCTCGGGATTTGCCTCCTGGAACTCTTGAAACATGCTTTTTATGGCTATAGTTGCTCCTGGAAATTTTTGACAATGGTCCTATTTCTGTCAGATAAACCACCAAATATTACTGGAAAAAGTCGATATAATTTTAGTCTGTATATGATGGGAGACAATTGATATGGCTCCAATGTTTTGTTGAAGTACAGAGATGTTGGTGTCTGCATGTGGTCTTTGTGTGCCACCATTTCGATTTACAGAGCGACCGATAATGGAATTCTGCCGTTTATTTAGAGTCAGTTTGTTTGAAAGAAGATTATTTTCATGAATTTATTTGCCGATTTTTTGGTGCTTGGATGACGAAAGGCTAATCGATTAACAAAAAATGCTTTTTCATAAACTGAAAACAACAAGGCTGCGTTTGGTCGACCGTATAAAAGCCAGGATAGGATATGTTTTTTCCTATCCTGTGTTTGGTGGTGGTCCAGGATAGGATAAGGTCGGATATAGACCGGATATAGCCCGGATAAAAAAATCCGGGGGAGGGGGTAGGATAGACCTGGATAGGATTTCTAATGCCTATTTTTCCAGAAACTCTACGCTCCACTCACCGTCATCTTCATCCCCACACCTTGTGCGCTTTCACCAAAAAAATTTCTCGGCTTTTTTTTCTTCACTGGCTCCTCAGCCCAAGTATATATCGGGAAAAACGGTTTTCCTTTCCCTTTTCCTTAAACTCTGACAAAGCAAGGTAGGGTTCCTTCCGTTCCCAAGTTCTGACGGCTAAATTCTATACTCCTCGTCATCTTCCTCCTCTTCTCCTAATTATAAGCGTCGAAATCAACGTGCAATTGCCAGATATTCAACTTACTTCATGCCCGGCAGCGTCAAAGTCCAGAGCAGGAAGCCAATATAGAAGCACGAATCGAGCCCCTCCATAAACCTGCAAAGCCGCCCAACCTTTCAAAGGCCGTAAGACGCCTAATATCCGTTAGCTAAAAAATAACCGCCTGTATTAAAAATAATGATAATAAAAAAAATAAACGTTGATTAGTGCCAAGTCTGATCCGCGAGCGCGTAAAGTGCTAAGTGGCCAATTATTGGTACGTAGCCTATCAACGATCCAGAGAGTAAGAATTTTGTTCTTGAGTTAAATTGTTATTTAAATACAGATAATTTCTAATTTGCCCTTCATGTTATCGACCAAATATCTTATCTTTTCACAGCGAACTTCGTCGTTACTTCCACGTTTTAGCATCTAGCAATATTTTCTTTTTGTATAAGTTTTTTTCCTTTTATCCTTTCGTCTCTTCAAAAATTCTTATTTTTCATGTACCTTTGCATAACTAGTTATGAATTCTAATTTAATATATCCGATTCTTGGACAAGTGTAGACTTGTGTTGCACACATACACATTTACGCATGTATTTTGATAAATATGTAACAGACAAACTTATCAAAAAAAAATTATTCAACCAAAAAACAAACTTATCAAAATTAAGAAATTAAATTAACTACCTTCAAACGGCATTGCATACTAGCCAATGACAATATTTGGTCATTTTTATATAAATGAAGTTCTAATGTTATCAAAGATTTCAAATCTCTGATTTAATACATAATTATCAAACGGTCATTATGAATGTGTCTTCATCATCTTACATCATAATTAACTTCTACTGAGTTATTAACAAATATATCGAACTTTGAGGTTGTAGAGGGCTCGTATTATAAGTTTTGACTCATTTTCCATAATATATTGTACTTCGAAAGGGTATTTCGTGAATGACCAATAATTTTCTAATGACAAGTAACGACATTATCTGGTATAATTATAGATGTACTGTCTGCCCCGTAGATTAACCAAGATAAATAAATAAAAAGAAAGATGTAATGTGCGGTGTTATGTTGTATCTGTCAAGCACTCTATCTTGTGAAAAAATATTTTATCCATAGGCTACACCGTTAATGTGAAGTAACCACAATATAACATCACACACATGGTACTCATCCTAATCAATTCTTGTTATTTGATTTTTGAAGCTCTCGTGTCTTTATTGGCCGCCTTCTCCCTACGGTATGATTGATACGATGGATACGTTGTCCTATCTCAAGCATTAGACAATATATATCTTAAAGCAGTGGTACCTCAAGGTTGGTTGGACCAATTTCTCTCAATTGCATAGTGTTTACCAAACTTTTACAAAAACAAAAGACAACATTAATGTGGCGCTAATCAAACACCCACAATTTTAGGACCAAACTTCAACCCAAATCACGTTGATTTAGGTGCAATTATAGGGCCACATTTGATCCGAATCTAGTTGTCCATCACGAGACACAACACAATGTGACGTCATCGCAGTGATGTCCCTATAGCAAATGCGATATTATTATAAATGGACAGTTCCTAATTAATTAGTCACGGGAATGGAATTGGGAACTTGATGTCTAATTCAGTATCTTATTTGCTATCTCATCTAATGTCAAAGCTCTACAGCATCTAATAAAACTCTACTTAAAGACGAATTGAGACAGGGAAGCCAGCTAAATGGGATTTTGATTTGACAGAACTTGATATGCCATCTTTGACTTATGATAACAATAACATAATAAAACCGGAAAAAAATGCGAGGCACATTCGATTCTTGAATTAGATCTAACATTTGAAAATGAAAAGCATAATGCCTGCATCTCAACAAATAAAGCCTCGTTGTTGGACCACACCCATACCATAACTTCTTTCAAACAGTAAAAAAAAATTCAAAAACCTAATAAACCGTGTGCATATTCGAGATTAATATGCATGAACACCCAGAGTTAGGTTAGGTGAAATTATTAAAAATTGCAAGTAAGTTCTCATTTATGAATATACCGTGTTGCCCTTTGTATTATGAAGGTTTAATACGGCAAAAATTGTTCCTTTTAAACAAATTCATCGAGTAAAATGTCTAGATCGAGTATACTTTTTTTTGAAGTGTCCAAAGTCTAATTAGATCAATATAAATATAAAAGGGTCAAACATTCAACAACGTTTTTTTTAGTCCACGACTTCGGACAGAACCCGCCATGCCCACAAGGTCAAAAGGTCAAAACCCTACAAAACAAATCGGACAGAGTCCCACGCAATATGACAGTTGACAATTCCAGGTTGGTCAACCAGGAATCCACAACCCCCCATCAAAAAGTCAAACGGTCAAAACAAGATGGCACTTGCTGATTCCTCACCTCTGCCTTTAAAAACCAGGATGACGCACTCACTCATAACCCCATCACCTTCCCACACTCTCAATCCCATCGTAACTCAGGGACACTCGAGTCCAGAAGAACTTTAGAGAGAGAACCGAGGGCACGGCGGGTTCGAAAAGGTTGAAAATCAACGGCGTTGGTGGCAGCGACATCGCAAGTAGCGTTAGCGTCATGAGCCGGCCGATCCCGAGGAGGGGCCGGGTGAAGGTGGCTATAGTGGCGGTGCTCGCACGCCGATTGGCCTCCATGTTCACTGTCCACGTTCGATATGCCGGAACTCATTTTTCGCAATAGCGATTGTAATGGAAAGAAAAATGTCATCTTCTGATGATAATTCTGATTGAGGCCATGGTTTTTTAGTAGATACAAGAAGAAGATAGCGGGGTAAATGAACTGGGTTCATCCCTCCAAAATAGGCTCAATTCCAAAAAAAACCCTCAACTTTACACTTTGTTCCAAATATACCCTAACTTTTTTTTGTCTCAAGAAAAACCACCAACGTTTATCTAAGTCCCAAATCTTCCCTCCCGTTAAAAATCCGTCCAAATACGTCAGGAAAAAAAAAAAACAGAGAACCGGCAACTGCGGCGGTGGCCAAGCCTTCGCTGGTGGCCGCCGCCACAGCCGTCGGGAAGGAGCGGCGGCCCACGCCTACGCCTTCCCGAAGGCCGGCTACCCTCGCCGGCCCCGGGCGAGCCACCGGCCCCGGCGAGGCGCGCGCCCCGATCCGGGGAGGGTCTCGAAGGCCGGCGACCCTCGCCGGCCCCGGCGAGGGCGCGCGGCCCGATCTCGGGCGAGGGTCGCGCCTCTCCCGGATCGGGGCCGCACGCCTCGCGGCGGCTCGCCCGGGCGGCGAGGGTCGCCGGCCTTCGAGAAGGCCCGGGCGAGGGCCGGCGACCCTCGCCGGCCCGGGCGAGCCGGGCGAGGGCGCGCGGCCTCGATGCGGGGCGAGGGTCGCGCCCTCCCCGGATCGGGGCGCGCGCCCTCGCCGGCGGCTCGCCGGCGGCCGGTCGAGGGTCGCCCGGCCTTCGAGACCCTCCCCGGATCGGCGACCCTCGCCGGCCCCGGCGAGGCGCGCGGCCCCGATCCGGGGGAGGGCGCGACCTCACCCCGAGATCGGGGCACGCGCGCCTCGCCGGCGGCTCGCCGGGGCGGCGAGGGTCGCCGGCCTTCGGGAAGGCCCAGGC